TAATTAATCATATTATCAATCTTTGATCAAGATAAATGATATAATTATCTTAAATTAAGATCAATAAATCTGATTAATTTATTTTAATTAATATTAATAATAAATTAAGTTAATTATCTTGATTAATTAGTTTACTTTATTTATATTATGTTTTTTTTTTAACTAAATCAGAACCGAACAAAACAAAACACAACCGAACATCAAATAACCAAAAAAAAGAAGATCAAACATGCAAACGACTTAGCCAAAATTAGGGTTCATCATGAATACATTTTTTTGGCAGAAAGATGAACAGATTCACAGATTCATCAGGCAACTACACAGGCAAATATATAATCTTTCATTCATTTTTCTCAAGAAAAACATTCGATCTTGAACATTAAATGGAAAATACAAAGAGAAAGAAATCAACAAACAAAGCAACACCCACGGCGGAATTCTTCAAGGAAAAGCAGATCCAGATCTGATGGGAGGGATCCCACCCACGAGACCAGGCTCCCATCGTCCCCTTCACCACCGTTCCCAGAAGGCTCCTCTGTTCAGAAATTACCTAAAGTAGAAGCAAACACAGAGAAATTAGCCTCCCTTTCAACCGCCGTCAGCACCAAGCTCAAGCCAAAGAAAAACCCCTTCTATTGCTCTCGAAGCTCAGCCGAAACTCCCCAACAAAACAGACCCAAAATCAACCAACCCCCTAAAATCAATACCGACCTCTCCTCTCTATCAAACTTCAAAAAAACTAACCAACCCCCTTTTCAATCTGATTTTTCTCTATATATATACCCGAATAAAAGATAAAAATAATAAAAAAGCCTTGCTCTGTCAATCAATAATGATGAAGATTTTCTGGCATGTACTGTAGCGAGCAGAGGCAGGGGCATGGCTCGGTGCAGAGGGCATGATTGCTGGCGCAGAGTGCAGGCGTGCAAGCAACGCGGGTTCGGCACAGCAGGCGGCAAGGGGATTTGGTGCAGAGGAAGGCTGGCGCAGTGCAGGGGCGAGATTGATGCAGATTCGGTGCAGAGCAGGTGCAGGAGTGATGATTGCGCGAGATCTGGGCGCAGGAGGCACGTCGGGCGCAGAGCAGGGAGCAAGGGCGCAGGCTGGTGCAGGGGCGAGGCTCGGGCGTGCAGAGCTCGGTGCAGAGCTCGGCGTGCGAGGGGGCGATGATGGCTCGGTGCAGAGGAGCTGGGCGCAGTGCAGAGGATCTGGGCTGATTCGGGAGAGAGAAAAGTAAAAGTAAAAGTAAAAATGAAAGAAGGGGGTTCTGGAGAAAAAAAAGATTTTTTTCTTTTTTTTTTTTGGTTAAATGGGTTTGGTATTTGGGCTTGGGTTTGGGTAATTGTGGGTTTTGGGTTGTTGGTAGGCTTTGGGTTTTGGGTAATTGGGCTTTGGTTTGGGTTTGATGGGTTTTGGGCTAGACTTTGCATTTCACCCCTCCAACTTTTAATTTCTTCAATTGAGTCCCTTCTTTCTTTTTCAGGAATTTTCCAATTTCCTTTTGCATGTAGCACCTGAAACAAAATAAAGATATATTAGTCAAAGAAAAAGGAAATTTTCATATTTATATATTTTTGATTTTTTTTTGTTTTTTTGATAAAAATTTGAGTTATGACA